TTATTGCGTCAGCCTCCTGGCTTAGGTTGATACCACTGCAATCGAATCATACCCGTCACTGACTACCGGTCCAGTATATAGCCATACCTGTGGAGTAGGCCTATGCACCAGTGGGGGGGTGAGGTTCTTGCCTCACCTCTGTTGGCCCCCAAATTTAACCTTGGAGCCAGTGGGGGGGTGAGGTTCTTGCCTCACCTCTGTTGGCCCCCAAATTTAGACCATCACTAGCAGAAGGGAGAAAGACAGCTTGAGCCACATCCCCAGCCCCTATTCAACTTCTTAAAACTTGTTTTTTAAAACCATCAGCCTACTATCTTTCCTTTGTAATCAATGTTATTGATTAGTGAAGGAGTAGAAGCTTCTTCAATTAGAGGCAACTGGTTAATTTGTTTCCTCTATTGGCTGTTTAAAAAAACTCTGRTAACTTCTTCCCTCCCAACTCCAAATTTGGGTATTAGATAATGACCTTTCCCCCCAAAAAAAATGGCCAGAAATGATTAACAAAGTTTATTTCTCTTTAAAGATACARTACAATACTAGCAGCTTACAGATGCTTAAGTTCAGTGACCCTTAATGTAGTTCCACTTGTCATAAAGACCAATCTCATCAAAATTGTAGCATATTCACCATATCTAATTATTTTGGATTTAGGAACAAGAGGTTGCAACATCTGGAAAGAAGAGAAGGACAACAAACAGCAGAGAGTACAAACTGCAGTAGTGGGGACTACCAAGGAGCTGACCCTGAAAGCAACCAATGTGAAGCCACTGCAGACCCTGCCAGAGGAAGCTGAACATAGAAAACTAAGTCAGGGACACATCCAAGGGACAAGAATTCCCAAGAATTCAAACTAAAAGCCCTGGGGGGTCTAGGTAACGCAGAATGGCTGAGAAGGGTCATTTCAGGGGCTCCTTACATAGTTCAATCTATCTGGAGTCACAATCACTGTGTGAGTTATAAAACCCAGGGCTCCCTTTTCCAGAAAATTGTATTCATAATTTTGTATATAATTTCAGAAGGCTTATAGAAACCATGAAACTCATCATCAGTTTCTTGTGGGAGGGGAGGTACAAGGAAGGCTCTCCATTTAAATAATGCTATCCCATGACATTAGACACAGGTCTGCTTTAGTAGGCCTTCTGTTTGGGTGAGTCTTTACTTGCAGGAATGCTATTATAGATCTATTTAAAACTTTGTTTTTAAAAATAGTCAGATAATATGTAGCATTTTTCCTGAGGAAAGATTAGCTATGTTCAAAATGATATGATTCAATAGGCTGTTGGTGTGATAGATTAAAGTCTTGGGATATATCAATACTTTTTAAAAATTTAAATCCAAATGATTCTTGGATTTAAATCCAGTGATTTTTGATCCTTAAAATTTTAAAAATATTTAAAAAAATATTTTTTTTTAGTTGTAGATGTACACAATAGCTTTATTTTTATTTTTATGTGGTGCTGAGGTTTGAATCCAGTGCTTCATGTGTGCAAAGCAAGTGCTCTACCACCGCACTATAACCCCAGCCCTTGATCCTTAGAATTTTAGCATGAGACTCAGGATTTTTCTTTCTCTTTTTCTCTTTAACAGAAAATCAAARGATTATGATGGTAAATACCTAACAAAGAGTTATAAAGAGTGGCTGACAAGACCTTCTTCAATGGAAGGTAGAACACAGGCTGCAGGTGAGAATCAAGTAAGCAGTAGCATCTTCACCCCATTAAGACTTCCCTGCAGATGAGCAGCAGGAAGGCACCACTCATAAGGGGCACAGGAGCCAGTGGCTCTGTCTGGTGGCACTGCTTGAGAATGCCACTTCCACAGAGGCCACTTTGGAAGACCCATAGTAGACCTGCTTTGGGCAAATGTCTCCACAGCATCTCTGCTGTCTTTTCATAAAACCTACAGTTGTACATGGGGAACACTGACCTCTTTTTAATAGCAATAAAATGAATTCTCTGTTTCCAAATCTTTCCCTTTATTATCATAATTAGACTTTACTTGGAAAGCTAGTAGTAAAAACTATTCAGACAGCATCATCACATTATTACTTTTAGGCAAAGGAGGATGGGGGACTCTCAAGTTAAAATGGGACTGAAAGAGACAGATTCCAGTTCCCAAGAAGGCTGGCCTCTACAGTCAGCACTAAAAGCAGGATTAATGTGTARTTATTAAGAAAATCATATGGTGACTTTATTCTCCTTGCAACTTAAAAAAGAGTGATGTGATAGCAGTGAAGGCCAACATCATACAGGGAAGACCAAGTCCACACTTTGTCCTGAATCAACTGCTACTACATGAGTCTTCTTGGTCAAGGCAGTTGAGCCCACAGTGACAGAATAGGTCCCTGGATATACTTCTATGTAGAGGTCCTTTGAGATGTTCTCAGCCTAAAAGGAAAAGAAGACACCATAAAGAATTTATATCTCAATGCCAACACAGCACCTCCACTAGGCTACCTTTGTGCCAGAGGTATGATGGAATAAAGGACTGATGGAGGAGATAGAGGTTCTGTTTTCATGGCTCAGTTTGGTCATACAATAGCAATGTCATTTAGATAAACCTCAGCCTTTCCTTAAGCTTGTTTCCTTATTTCTAAATTTGTGATAATATCCACCTCACAAATAAGCAGAAAACACTTTGTAAATGTTAAAGTGTTATAGAAATATGAAGGATTACAAAAGAACACTCTGGTTGGGGTAAGAATTAGGCAGAGGGACAGACTAATGGTTATTGTTTTGCACTTGTGAGCAGAGATTGACAGTAATGACAAGGTCCCTAGGATAATGGGAAACATTCTTTTTTATTGTGTTTTGCTAAGTTTGTTATCAAGAAGATGAAGCACTTCTTTTCTCCTAAAGCTAAAAACAATATGAATGGATGTCATTTTGTCACTGAAGCAGCAAGTAGCTGGAGGAATGGTTCTACACTGGAAGCTGGAGTTAATGAGTTTACAGCTGATCTGAGTGCAAATCATTTTATGAAATAAACTTCACACATGGTTGGAAAGTGGATCATGGCAGGTGTGCAGGCAGAAAATATTTTCAGTAAAGAAGGCAAAAAGATAGAAGTCACAAACCAGAAAAGAGCCAGTAACAGCAAAGTGTCAGCTATGATGCTCATTTATGTTTGGTGAATATTCAAAGGAGACACACCAAGAAAAATGAAACCACTGGCCAGAAAATCCACCAGCAAGAATAAATAATATTTATGAAACTCTCCCTGCCTTGGCCTTCAGATAGATTTGAAACTGACTTTATAAAAGTTGTTTTGTTCTCCTTGTATTCCCAGTTACTGCAAAACTGGAGGTCTATTATTTAACAAATGTGAATATATATGACAATGCCCTAATTATTTACCAGTTGTCAAATATAAATAAAAGGTTTCAGAAAACAGCTGTATCAGAATTGCAAAAAAGTCAAAGATGCTCTGWAATTAAGATTAACACTGGGGTAAGACTATATCTGTGACTCCAACACTGAGGAACATCAGGAAGATTAGCATCATCTAAAATCAGCAATGATGGAGGCATTTAAGCCTAATGATTTATATTTGTACTAGAAACAGAATATTCTTAGTTGCTACTAATGCTAGTATATTCCAAATCATGGCTCCCAGCAAACTGAATATAAACAAAAAGAAATTTATTGTAGCAACATGCTGAAGTTCCTTTCCTCAGAATTCCAGCCCTTCCAAGTTCCAAAAGATTCTTTGAGGCTCATAAACTGAGTAATTTTTTAAAAAATATTTATTTTTGGGCTGGGGATGTGGCTCAAGCGGTAGCGCGCTCGCCTGGCATGCGTGCGGCCCGGGTTCGATCCTCAGCACCACATACCAACAAGAATGTTGTGTCTGCCGAGAGCTAGAAAATAAATATTGAAAAATTCTCTCTCTCTCCTCTCTCTCTCTCTCTCCTCTCTTAAAAAAAAATTAAAAAAAAATATTTATTTTTTAGTTTTCGGCAGACACAACATCTTTGTATGTGGTGCTGAGGATCAAACCCGGGCTGCACGCATGCCAGGCGAGGGTGCTACCGCTTGAGCCACATCCCCAGCCCACTAATGAGTAATTTACCCTAAAAATGAAAAACTCATCATTATACATTTTTTAGAGAAAATGGAAAATGGAAACATGCTTTAAAATGTTTTGGAACCTGATATCTCACCAAATGTATATGTTTCAGAGTTTTAGCAACAGTTGCACTTTATAAAAGCAAGCAAGGTCAGGCCCTCCTGCTGCTTGAACAGATGGTGAAATTCCAGCAGAACCCAGTGCCAGCCCAGCTGAGCCTTAGGAAAGGAGATGTGAATACTTCACATTCTTTCCAACCACAGCTATGAATTCAGGCACAAAAAGCATGTCTGAAATTTTGAAAGAAGGATACCAATAAAACACAACTTTACACTGAACCAAAATTTTGTTCACCTTCCTTGAGTGTAAAATCATCACAACTTGAAAATACTACAGATTCAATACAAACAGCCCTATAGTTAACAGGTCAAATGGTTCATGGAATTGTAATGGTTGTGAAGTGCAGCACACTAGCAGCTCTGTACTCACCGGCTGGGATGACTCTGAAGCATGTGCTAATGTTTCATAGATGCTTCCTGAACTGAAGGATGTCTTTTCTCTGTCATTTTTCTGAAGAGACAAATATTGATCAGTGCCCAAACTTTGACTTCTGTATTATAAAGAGAAATTTTCTCCTGCCTTATTAGGAGAATTCTTCTGTACACTTTTTCTAAGTTATCATTGAAGTTATTAAGGCTCTTTTTAGTGAAGTCTGAGTTATTTTTAGTCAGATGCTTACCATGATTACTTTTTATCCTTATATGGGCTTTGGAGTCAGAAAGGCCTGAATTTAAATACTATTTCCAGCTATTTACTAAGTCAGATAGATAAACCTCTTTTAATAAGCTTTAGTTTCCTAGACTATAACATGGGGCTATTTGGATTTTAGGGAGGACTGAAAGTGCACAAGTGATAACACTCAGCCAGTGCTCAGAAAGTATTCTCTTTGCTTCTAGGAGTGTGGGTACTAGAAGGGAACAGGCTGACACAGCCAATTCCCTTACAGTCACAACTTAAATTTTACATATATAGAGAAATGACTACCCAACAGGTAACAACTAAAGGTCAGGTGCACTTAAGGTGCTCTGATGAGGCCCCCAAAGGGCATCCAGGATGCAAACTCCTACAGCTCTCCACATCCCAGGAAAAAACAAAGATGCCTCCAGTCTGTGCTCAGCCCTGCTTCATATCCCTGCGCTCACTGCCTATACTTTTCCTAAAACTCTTTGCTCTGATACCCCAAGGTGACCCACATGCCAGAGAAGTCAGGATCTGACGTGAGGATTAGGATCGGACTTAACATTTTTGGGTACAACTAGAGGAATTCAAGAAAAACAAAATGCCTATTCTCCCCTTGAAAACTACCACCACCACCTCCCATTTAACAAGTAGAACATTTGGCTTCCCCAAAATTTGACATGTGAACAGGTCGGTAGTGAGTGAGAGGCCTGTAACTGTTACTATCTTTAGAAAAAGTATCACTTGAACCCAGGAATTCAAGACCAGCATGCACAACATAGGGAGACCCTGTCTTAAAAACAAAACAAAACAAAAAAGGATTTTGAGACCCCCATTCCCTTACAYTTTTTTTTTTTTTTTTTTGGTCGGGGGAGGTAGGAGAGACACAGGGATTGAATCCAGGGGCACTATAACACTGAGCTATATTCCCAGCCCTTTTTGTTTTTTTTATTTTAAGGCAAGGTCTCCCTAAGTTCAGGAGGCTGGCCTCAAACTTGTGATCTTCCTGCCTCAGCCTCCTGAGTCATTGAGATTACAGGTGTGAGCCAAAGAACCTGGCTGCACTTCCTTTTAAAAAATTACCAAAAACATGATAACTATCATTACCTTTATAAGATATGTAATTATTAAAAATATCTTTTCTATCTCTTGATGCAGAAAAGGACATGTGAAGCTCTTTTCTTTAAGCATATTCAGCAATCCTCCAGCCCAGGATTGCTGGTTCAACTAAAGAGCCTACAGTGAAATCAGTCTTTTGGATTAGACAAATTCCTATTTCATGCTCAACACTGTAAGTTCTCTAAGGCTGCAAGTTGATATTTTTCTGTTGAGCACTATAATGCTGAGTCACACAGGCATCCAATAATAAGAGTTTAGTAGGAACTCCCCCAAACAGGTCTCACATCTTGAGAGACTGAGAACATATTCAGGACAGTTTTGAAGACACATACCTGACCATGCCTTCTGTAAGAGTACATGTCTAGCTCCGACTTCCCTCTGTGATAACGATAGACATGGGTTGCCCCTCCTTCCTCTGCCACAGATGAATAATATTTCTAGAGAAGTAATGTGAAAGATGTTGGGTAATTAAATAGTCTGGTCAATTTTTCAGTAAATAAAGAAAACCTCCAATGCTTGGGCAAAGTATGGTTAAGGAGGAAGGCAAGAGAGCAAAAGTAAATCACCTCTTTTTGAGAGGCCTCTGAAGCCTTAGGCCATGTAAAGTGGCTACAGAGAAGAAAACTGCATTTGGCATTACTTTGCTGCCATCTGCTGCCTCAGTAGGGCAAGAACTCTGGCCAATTAAAGTTGGGCAGGACCATGTTCTCTGCCAGGTTAAATAATTTTTCACATCTTTGCCTCAATGTCAAATACACATGCCCTTTCCTTTCCTCCCCTGACAAGTTCTGATGAACAGTTCCCCATTTACTAAGTCTTAGACAAGGACATGGGAAAAGAAGGGTACATTTGCTTGAGGTTTAGAAATATAGCAGGAAATGAAACATAAACCCAAGAGCTATACAACCTTTCTCCTTAGGGTTCCCATGCAGGGGAGTGGAAGGAGAGGTCTCCAGTTTAATAATAATCCAAAGGATCTGAAAACAGTTACATTTTTCTTGTCTATTTACTTCCCTCCCTCAAAGTTAACCTCAGATTTGCCCTTGATTATGACTAATGATGAAGACATCACAAGCCTGCTTGTTTTGAACATACTGTAGGGACAGTATCCAAAGCACATTACTAGAAGAATAAGCCAGGGAAAGCACTCAGAACATGGATCTAATACCTTGTAGGGGCTGCTTCAAAATTGTGGAGGCATATCCATAATACTATCCTACACCTCTAGAAAACCAAAGGGTTCTGTTGGACCCATTCTAAACAGATTTGAACTGAACCATGAACTGAAAACCAATATGAAAAATACCAATTTGCTAAACCTCAAACCAAAGACAAATTATATTCTTTTTTATCAAACCATGAAGGCAAGCATTTATCACTTCACAATAGAGCTAAAAAGTTATGGATTTTTCTACAACCACTTCAGTACAAATGAGAACATGAAAATATACTGAGTAACATCACATTGGTTGGAATACTTATTCTGGTCACAATGATTTTTTTTTTTTTAATACGTTTAGTTGCAGTTGGACACAATACCTTTATTTTATTTATTTATTTATTTATTTTWAAAATTTTTTTCTTTTAATATTTATTTTTTAGTTCTCGGCAGACACAACATCTTTGTTGGTATGTGGTGCTGAGGATCGAACCCGGGCCGCACGCATGCCAGGAGAGCGTGCTACCGCTTGAGCCACATCCCCAGCCCTATTTATTTATTTTTATGTGGTGCTGAGGATCGAACCAGCGCCTCGCACATGCTAGGTGAGCCACAACCCCAGCCTCCACAATGATTTTTATAAAAGATGTAGAAAGATTAAGAGTTTATTTTTTTTATCTTAACATATGAAATGAAAAAAGCAATAAAACAAGGAATCCTCTTCCTTTTCCCTTACAGATAAATATCCTCAGAGTCAAAAAAGATTCATAAAATGTTAAGGCTAGAAGASAGTAGAGTTTGGTGTTAATCCAAGAAGATAGAGAGTACCCTCCTTGCAGGTGATTTCCCTCAATGTTGGCTAGCCTGCCTTCAATAGTCCCTAAAAAGTACTTTTAAAATGGCCTAAGTACATGGGTTTCAGAAGAGGAACTTAAAAAAAAATTACTTTTAGTTGATGATTGACCCTTATTTTATTCATTTATTTCTATGTGATGCTAAGAATCAAATCCAGTGCCTCACACATGCTAGGCAAGTGCTCTACCACTGAGCCACAACCCCAGCCCCAGATGAGGGACTTTAAAACATTTGTTCACTCATTTCAATGAATGGTACCAAAACTTCACCTAAATCCTGCATCCTAGAGTTTGTGATAAATTTGCTGCTGTTCCTCTCAGTGGAAACCAAAGAAATAAACTGTAAAGGCTGGAAAGGATTTTAGAATTCTTAATTTCATGATGGGAAACTAAAATAGCTTCAGGTCCTGAAGTACTTTCTCCAGCGTATCATTGTTCTTGTCATATGTTTAGGAAAGACTGAGAGAGACTAACTGGCCAAAGACATTACAGTGGTAGAACATGGGTATGATTCTTGGGAAGTAGTTCCTGACACTAAATCACACACCCCTGACCAGGAAATTCCATCGGTCCTATATAACCACTTTTATCACCAACAACTGCTTATGGACCCAYTGGGACATAAAGTCTGATCACCAGGGATTTGAAACAAACATTACAGGTAAAGATCTAATGCAACTGTGTTTCAGTTTGTGTTTCAACATGTTTTGCTGTTGTGTGTATGTGATACTGGGGATTGTATCTTCTGAGCTATACCCCCAGTCCTTTTTTATTTTTGAGACAGGGTCTCACTAAGCTGCCCAGGCTGGCATCCAAATTGCATTTCTCCTGCATCAGCCTCCCAAATAGCTGGGATTACAGAGTATTTGAGTTACAGGCCTGTGTCCATAATATTTTAATGAAAACTGAAAAAAAGAGGCCCAGTTACAGTTTAGAGTGATCCTATTTTTTTTTGTAATCTTCAGTTCAATATTGAAAAACAACAGCAACATCCTGCAATTTGACCTGTTTTAGAATCCAACAGATATCCCCATACACACTAGACTGAAAACTCAATGAGGGCAGAGACCTTTTCTAGTTTGTTCACTATTGTATCCTCAACAATTAACGAGTTAGGAATTCAATAAATATTTGCTGGATGACTTCTACCTTGGGTGCATGCCTGGTGAACAGAAGATTCAGGAGTATCCGAGTCTCCCTAAATTCCAGAAACATCCACATTGTGATCATCCATTGATGATCAGGGGCATGGCTTTGGTTCACATCAACTTACCCCACACTGACTTGAAGTATAGTCCATGAATTCAGCCATTGTTCTGAAGGATGCACTAAGGGTTGGGTGCCTTTCTTCTCTCTATTTGAATAAATGGCAAGTCACAAGTGAGGCCTAGGATTCCCTGATACAAAATGAAACCATTTTGGAAATAGTCTTTTCATTTTTGGAAATCAGTAAGAAGGATCTAACTGAGAAAGAATTTCAACTCAATAAAATAGAAATGCAATTTATTCAGGACCTAAAAAAATAAGTTTGCTATCTTTCCTCTAATATCATATAGTGTCTATGTGAGAATTTTTTGTTTRTTTAATCAACCAGGGCCAAGCACTATCATTGTTCTACAACTACCCAACAAGAATCTGTCAAAAGGAGACTTTTCAAAGGATTTTTCCATTCATTGTCCTGATAGTTTCCATCTTTCCGACACGGGCAGAATCCCTCAGGCCCTTCTGAGGGGTGTGCCCATGGATGCCAGCAGGCCACCGCCTATAGAATCACTGGCTGGTCGCCCAGCACCAGGTCCTCACCTCTACAGGAAGAAAAGGCTGGGGGGCCGCTGCCAGTAGTCTTTCTTGGTAGGACCCCTCCCGGGAAAGAATCCCCAAGCTGCCTCTGGGGCGCTCGTGTGAATGCCAGTCCACCGCCCGCCTCTTGGCCCGCTCCAGCACTTCTTGACCCAGCCTAGCTGAGCGCTGCAGGGAACGTCGGTCCACCCCGGTCAGCGTCGCCGCGACGAAACAGTTGTCCATGTCTCCCTGGGCAGGCATATATACACAGAGGTTCAGTCGGGCTGCCGCGACGCTGCTTCAGTTCTGGGTGGGAGCCCCGGCCTCGACCTCCCCGGCGGTCACCGAACCCCTTCCGCCCCCAACGCGCACTCAGCGGGCGCCCAGCCAGAGGGCGAGGCTGCGCGCGCAGGTCCCCCCCATTTCCGCATCCCCTCCCCACGGCAGAGACCCCCTCACCAGACCCGCTTCTCAGTGCGCACGCGTTCCGCCAGAAAGGGAGGCGGGCCTGGAGCGYCAGGCGCCGGCGCAGCAGACCATTGGCGGAAGGCGGGGAGAGGCGAGGCGGCGGGGTGCGCCGCCTGGGCCGGACACGCCTTCGCGTCCCGTCCGGGTCCCCGAGCTCTGGTTGCCTGGATAACTGCAGCGTTCCGGGGCGAGGTGCAGGGGCGGGGCGTAGGGCTGGCTGCTGCGGGACGTGGGGTCCTGGGTGGAGCCGGCAGCCAAGGCCCCTAAGAGAACTTCGCAGCTTAACTTGGTGAACCTGGTGTAATGTGAGGTGGTCTCCGGTTGGGCTAAAACATTGTTGGGACTAAAGTGCTTCCTGCACCTCTTTCTACTGGTCTATATTTTTTTTAAGGTATCTCTAAAAACACTTTTTTTTTTTTTTTTTAAGGACGTGCTTAGTCTAGGCCAAATAATAAGGGTGCCAAAATGGCTTTTGGAGACTGCAGTTCTGTCAGACCCGCAGTCTGTCAGCTCCGACAGAGGCCGGAGGGAGGCGGGCCTGTCGGCTCTGGAACACTTYGATCTCAGCCGGAAGATCGGTGTTCCCGTCTCACCGGGCAGGGGGCGCCTGGAGAGCCGTAGGGTCTCTCAATCCCCTCACCGCTGCTTCCTCACTCCTCCAAGGGAAAAATGAATTCGTACATTTTTGGAGGTCCCTTTCTCTTGAATTTTGAATCCACCTTTCAAGAATAATTATAGGGCTGGGACTGTAGAGTGCTTACCTAGTGTGCTTGAAGCCCTGGGTTCAATCCCCAGGACCAYTTTGGAAATGAGTCATCACAGCCTCTGCCTTGGTGGCATAAATTTGTGTATGTATTCAAGCGATAAAATCATTATTTAACTAAAAAGAAAAAAATGAATAATTGCACCATTTTTTTAGGTAAGGAACTGTGTGCTTTGTTACCTTTCCACTCTTCTAAGGTAGATTAATCCAAGGACTCAGTGCTAAATAGTGACTCAGCTACCCCACCCTATAAGCAGCAAACTACTGATGCTCTAGAAGGCCCACTTTAAGGACACTGATCAGTGGTGGTGGGGGGGGAGTCATTTTAAAGGACACAAGGAAATTCTCAGTCTTCAGCTAGTCTCACTCAACAGATGGGCTTGATTAGCAGTGATGAGCTACTGCCAGGTGAGTATCAGGATATTAGTACAACCTCCATCTCTACTGTTGATTTTGCTCACTTCCTGCTTTCCCCTTTAAAAAGAACAGTGAAAGAAACCCTGCAGCCAGTGGTGATGCACACCTATAATCCCAGTGGCTCGGAATGCTAAGGCAGGAGGATCTCGAGTTCAATGCCAGTCTCAATAAAAGTGAGGCACAGAAGAACTCAGTGAGAGTCTCTAAATAAAAAAAAAAAAAAATAGGGCTGGGGATGTGGCTTAGTGGTTGAGTGCCCCTGAGTTCAATCCTCGGTACCCCCCACCCCCCAAAAAATGAAATCTTGAATTTTCCCTGAATTGTTTTTTCTATTTAGGAACATTCCAAAACTTTCTTCCCATGTTTATCAGGTGCCTTCTTTAGAGCACAGTGATTATATGCACAGTCTCCTGAATATCCAGTCTGGGCAGCTGGTTTGAATACTGACTCTGCCACTTTTTTTTTTTTTTTTTTTTTTGCTGTGGTTCTGGGCAAATTACTTCATTGAGTCTCACTTTTCCTCATCTTTTTCTTTCTTTCTTTTTGAATATTTATTTAATAATTATTTTGGGGGCTGGGGTTGTGGCTCAGTGGTAGAGTGCTCGCCTAGGACCAGCAGGGCCTGGGTTCTATCCTCAGCACCGCATAAAAATAAAATGCATTGTATTGTGTCCATCTACACCAAAAAAATTAAATATTTTAAAAAGTCATTGTTTATATTAAAAAAATTGTTTTTTAAAAATTTTTATGTGGTGCTGAGGATCAAACCCAGGGCCTTGCATGTGCTAGGCAAGTGCTCTACCTCTGAGCCACAACCCCAGCCCATTTTTCCTCATCTTTATACCTTAAAAGATATAGCAACCCCTAGACTGTCCTTTTCTTGAGGGCAGGAACTATATCTATTTTTTTCACTGAGTTTAAGGTGCATCTAGTATTTTATCTGACACAGTAGCAGACTAAAATAGCTATTGAATTGGGTTGCTGTAAGGTTTTTATGAGATAATTCCTTTAAAATGCTTAACAATGCCTTGGAAAGAATAGGCATTCCATAAATTTAGCTAGTGTTATTATATGCTAGGCACTGTCCTGGGAGTTGTGGAAAGTAGAAAGTGAATCAGACTAAAGGAGAATAAGAAAGCAGAGATGATGCACATAAAGTCTGTAACACCAGAAACAAAGTATTATGACATGCCATGAGACTGATACAGATAAAGTGCTATGAATCTTAGAAAGAAACTGTATTCAGCTGATAGAGAAAGGCTTTGCAGTAAAGGCAGTATTTGAGCTAGACCTTGAAAACTGGCATAGGAATTCATGAGAAAAGAGGTAGCTAAGGTACCCATGAACTTCTCTTACAATAGTGTGTTTGAGGGTGAAACAGAATTTGGTCTTTATTATGTATTCATTTAAAGATCCTGGCTCTGTAACTTTTGGCTGTTACTATGTAACCATGAGTAGGTTACTTAACTATTCTATACCTCAATATTGTCATCTATAAAATGGGAATAATAATAGTACATTTCTCATAAGGTTGTTTTGAGGATCAACCAAGTTGACACATGTATAGTGCTTTAATAGTACTTGGCACATAGTAAATGCTCAATAAATATTAGCCACTATTACAATTTTAATCAAACTTCAGCCTGGTTTCTCAATATGCCCTCACCCAATACTACAGCCACACCTCACCTCATTTGTATTCTATATCTCTTCTCTGTATTCTATTACTACTCTTCTCCAGGGTATGCCATTCATTACCATTAAGGCATTTTCTTTGTGTTCGGTCAACTCTGAAAACTTTTCCAGTTGCTTTTTTGTTGTTGTTGTTTTATCTTTTGGAACATTGTGATACTTATCCCAATCTAATTTAAATTATGTATAGTTATGGTTCATTCCCAATAGCCTATAAACAGCTTGAAGGTGTGTGACTGTTCCTTATTGGGTCCAAATATTCCAAGGTTTGCTAAGGAGTGGGTATTCAATACACACTTTTAAAAATTACTCTGATTTAATTTTTAATTTAAATATACCCTTGTTAGGCCAAAGAAGAGCTGACTAAAAAAAAAAATCTGCCTACATGTTCTTTAATGAATGTAATGAGGGCTGGGGATGTGGCTCTGGGCTGGGGATGTGGCTCAAGCGGTAGCGTGCTCGCCTGGCATGTGTGCGGCCTGGTTCGATCCTCAGCATACCAACAAAGATGTTGTATCCACTGAGAACTGAAAAATAAATATTAAAATTCTCTCTCTCTCTCTCTCTCTCTCTTTAAAAAAATGAATGTAATGACTATTCAATTATAACTACATTTCCTCAGAATTTAACATTTAGAAATATATAGGAAAGAGGGCTGGGATTGYGTGGGATTGTGGCTCAGCAGTAGAGCGCTCGCCTAGCACATGTGAGGCCCTGGGTTCAATCCTTAGCACCACATAATAATGAAATAAACATAATGTGTCTAACTAAACTAAAAAACAATAAATATATATAAAAAAAGAAATATATAGGAAAGAAAGTGGTTGGAATGAAATTGAAGCCTAGAGAGCTAGGGTTGTGGCTCAGCGGTACAGTGCTTGCCTAGCATGTGCAGTGTGCTGGGTTTGAGCCTCAGCATCACATAAAAACAAATAAATAAATAAAATAAAGTTTTGTTTTTTTTTTTAAAGAAAGTAAAGCCTAAAACTGATACTAAATTAAATCTTTGCACTTATTTTTATTTTTCTACTTGCAAATATATTTATATGTTTATATTTATAATTTCAAGTCCATCCTATAAACCACAAATCAAGATCTTTTTCTCTTTTTTTTTAAGTTTGATTGGGAATAGTGATGGGATATGACCTACTATCAGGACCCCTGTGAGTCAGATACAGCCCAGGCCAGGTACTCCTAAAAGCCACTGGTGAGTCTTGGGAAAATAAATGGAGGGAAGATAACTAATTGGGAATGTTCTGGGACTACAGAGAAATATGAATCTGCATGATCTCTCTCTTTACAAGGGTAAATTCTCTACAGAGCACAGATAAACGTTATTTAAGTTATTTCTCTTCATTGTCTATATGTTTTATGTATATAGATGAATTGGGAAAAAATCTTTATTCTTAAGCTCTGAAGAAAAAGATTGGTAATATATTTGTTTGGAACTTTTTTAGGAGGAAAAATAAGTCCATGTGAAAGGGGACAAAATGGTTAAAAACCCAAGATGCAGAAGCAGATATCATGTCAGAATTAAAACAATGACTTAACACTGTACATACCAGGGAATGTACAAATCATCTTATTTGACAGTATTTTTGCTTCTTCAGTCGACTTAGAGGCTTTAGAATTATTATAGTTTTGAAAAGTAGTATGAAGTTTGAGTCATTAGGTCATTCAGTTTCCCTGGTTACGTCAACTTACTGGGTTATTGAGGAATGAAAGAAACCCATTATCGAAAGTGTCATCTTGATTATAAAGATTAAATAAACTAAATCCAATTCATGAGAATTAGCTTTCACAATCTGTTAAAAATTAACAATAAGTTAAAAAATTGGTTGCAGAGCAGGAGTGATTAAAGTTTTATCATTTTTGAAATGCAGAGATTAAAAGAATAATATATGGAAGACATGAAGAGTTGAACAAATCCATTCAGTTTTTTAAAAACTACTTTTGAAGTATAATATACATATCCTAAAACTCAATAATTTTTGCTAAATTTAAGAGTTGTGCCAATGCCACTACAGTTCAGTTTTGGAAAGTTCATTTCCTGAAAAA